GCCCGGTAGTTTTCAACCCAATTGGAGATGTTTAGCCGTGTGGGGTCAAAAAGGGAGGCGTGTGAGCTATGGACACCCACATTCCAGTTGGTGGGGTTGCAAGCTGGATCGCCGTCCTCCACAAAAGTAGCCATGTTAAAGTGTGTCAACTACCATGCGATCAAGCAACGCCGCCAAGTCAAGACGTAAGCCAGAGCGGGGCAGGTCTTGGGTAAGCGGAGAAAAAAGAGTCGTTCAAAAGCAAGCGGCGAACACACAGAAGGCAGGATCTGCAGCGATATTCCTTCTGAAAAGATCAAGGTCAATGCAATAGTTTCGGCGTCAAACTTACGCCCATAATCTCATGACGCTGATATGCGGCTTGTTCAGGGGTAGGAACGGGGACTTGGTTCGTGGCGCATGGCATTTTGCTCCATTCGGCGCGACAGGCAGCCTGCGTTTCGTGGCGCTGGACTGTCACGCACCACGGGTCAAGCCAGCCCTCGGCGCCGCGGGGCTGCACTCCAGTGAGCGCTCTATCACACACGTATTGTTTGACAGTGGCCCGGCCCTTTGGACAGGTCTACCCAATCAATCGAGCAAAAGTTGATTCAATATTCACAAGATCAAGATCGTGAGTCCAGTCGCGTGCTCCCACCAGCGCGAAATGCCATAAGCAGGGCTTACCGCTGTCACAGGATGACGCTGAACCACGGCCAAGCCGGCTCGATGGTCATCAATGGCCACAATCTGTGTTTCTTGGCAAGCCACCCAACCCTTGAGCTGGGGCAGCTCTGGGAACCAATAGCTTCCCCTGCCCCGTTCATCGAGGACGCAAGGCATATCCGCCGCCGCGCATGGCAACTGTCTGACGAGACACAACGCCAATATCCCCAGCCCAGTAGGAGCGCTTGCACGGGCACTATCCCGCCCATGTTTTTGGTGGCACGGGCAGACAGATCAAACACAAACAAATGCTTCTTCTCCAAATTAAAAAATCAAAAATCAAAAATCAATTGACAAGCAAACAAGAGCAGATGATGAAGACAACCACGATCAAGGACTGCTTCAGGATGGATGGCGGGGAACAGCCACGAGTTGGCAAGAAGACTATCACTTTTGACGTCATGTCACCGCCAATGTGCAACTTGACTTGCGCGTGTATTCATTCAGAGCGCGCAAGACATGGTGGGTAAGTGGACGGGCCTATG